AACTGATCGGTGTTTCTCTCTCATCGATGTTTCTAGCTCTCTCTCTCCCTTCCTCTCTGTGAAAAATCAATAAAATATATTTTAAAAAAAAGAAAAAGGTTCAAGACCAAATGCAACCCCTCAATGTGCACCTAGAGCAAACCCCTGTGCAGGTATGATTTTACCGGCACCCGCAACGCCTCTTGTGGCCATCACAACACTACCAAATTTCTACACTTGATATGAAACTATTGACCCAACTTTTATGCTAATTATTTCCTTGCATTTTGTTTTGCCACCCAAGCATACATCTATAAACTACAGAGTTTAAAGTTTGTTTGAATTTTGATAATTTTATTGCCATGTAACATACAGACAATTATAAACACGTGAATACATGTGTAGCCACCACTTAGACCAGTGGTTCTCAACCTTGGCTGCACATTAGAATCACCTGGGAATCTTTTTTTTTTTTAAATTCTTTATTTAAGGTATTACAAATGTGTCCTTATCCCCCGCATTAAACCCCCATACCTGGGAATCTTTTTAAAATCCTGATTTCTGGGCCTCATCCGCCGGAAATTCTGTTTCTTTGTTACTAATGTTGTGGCCCCAACCCATAACAAAGAAACAGAATTTCTGGAGGATGAGGCCCAGAAATCAGGATTTTAAAAAGATTCCCAGGTGATTCTAATGTGCAGCCAAGGTTGAGAACCACTGACTTAGACCAAACACTAGAAACTTGCTGGCATCCCCATCCTCTTTGAAATTTTTTGACATTTGTTTATTGGCCATGATTTATTGAGTTTTTATAAAAATCAATTTGAAAATATTGTATTTTTTTGTACTTATTGAAATCTGTTTTCTATGTCTATACATTTACACTAAGATTGCTTATTATACTATTAATAATATATATGCTTACTAATTTTATTTTTATCCTCACCTGGGGATATTTTTCCATTGCTTTTCAGAGTGGAAGGAAGGGAGGGAGGGAAAGAGAGAGAAATATTGATGTGAGAGAGACACTTTGACTGGTTACCTCCCACACACACCCTGGGCAGGGCAGGGAGTGAACTGTAACCCAGGTATGTGCCCTTGACCAGCAATTGAACCCGTGACCCTTTGGCGCACTGGCCGATACTCTAACAACTGAGCAACACCATCCAGGGTGATATTTAAATTATTATTACTAGGATAAAGTTGTAAAATCTTTACTTACATTTGTATAATTGGCTACTTTAAAAAAAATTCAGTCAATATTCCTTAAGAAGTTTTGAGCTGTACCAACTGCATTCAAATGTACAATTGTAACACCTTTGTCGTGGATTGAAACTTATGCCTATGGAATGTCTTTTCTTTATACTTAGTGAGGCTTTGTCCCTTAAATTCTAAGCTATCTTATATTAACATAGGTACATCACTTCTGGTTAGATTTACATAGCATTTTTTTTTCAGTATCTTTTACATAAATCTTTCTGGTTCCTATGTCTTTTTATACCCTATCTTTAGCTTGTTTCATAATTTTTCCTCAGTTGTTGTCTTTTAATTTGAGTTTATGGTTCATACAAAAGTAACAAAATTACTGTAATTTGGATTTAAATCTACAATATTTTAAAGCTCTATTTCTGTCTATTCCGTGTTCCTTTTCTCTCCTATTTTGCCTTCTTTTGGATTGATTAAATGTTCTTGTTTCATCTTCTAATAGCTTAGAAATTAAATATACTTTTAAAATTATTTTAATGATTACCTCAGACAATACAGCATACAGTCTTAACCTGGAGCCCTTCTGCGGTCCCTCCTGCACCCTCTCACAATCCGGGACCCCTTGGGGGATGTCATCTACTGATTAATAATTTAATCTTCTTTCTTGATGTGGCAGGGATATATGGCATTTTAACTATTATCTTTTTTCCTGTCATATGCTACTGTTGTTGTGCATTGTAATTATATATATATCCCAGGCAGTATTATTTTTAATTAATGAATAACATCTACAAATTTTATTGTTCTTCATTATTATTTTTTTATTTTTGATCTTCAATGTAAAACAATTTTCTTCTTTTCAAATAATTTTCTTTAGATCTTTTAATTAAGGCCATTTGGTAACAAATTTCTGATTTGTTTCTAAAAATAAATATATTTTTCACTTTTATTCTAATTGTATCATTTTGATTTGTGTTGGATCCTAGATTGGCAGTTATTTTTTTTCAGATTTAAGGTATATTATTTTCTTTTGTCTTCTAATGCTTTGCAAGTATTATCTTTGAAGCACTTTGAAAACTTTATGTTTGGTTTTTAACAGCTTCACTGTGATATGCCTAGAAAAGTTTTCTTTATAGTTATTATTGGAGTTCATAGTATTTTTTTTGTGGTTTCATTTTTATAAACTGTCAATTTTGTAGAGTTTTCAGCAATATCCTTTCCAATTATGTGCCCATCCCATTCTTTTGGGTTCCTCTCCTTCTTTATTCACTATTTTGTATTTCTCATCTTTTTTTCCCTCTATATTGCAATATGGAAACTTTCCTATGGCCTATATCTAGTGCATTAATTTTCTTTTCATTTGATTTAGTCTGCTGTTAAGCTCATTCATTGCTCTCTTAATTTTACTTATGGGATTTGTTCATTTCTAAATTTTCTGTTTGGTCAATTTTTATATAATTTACTAGAGGCCCGGTGCACAGAAATTTGTGCACTGGCGGGGGAGAGGGAGTGTCCCTCAGCCTCACTTGTGCCCTTTCACAGTCTGGGACCCCTTGGGAGATAACCACCTGCTGGCTTAGGCCCACTCCCGGGTGGCAGATGGCAGGCCTGATCCCTCGGTGCCTGCCCTGCCTCCCTGGGTCACATGGCAGGGCCGATCGGGGGGGTTGGGGTGCCGCCCTGGGTCAGGTCGCACACAGGACCCCCGGACAGCAGCTGGGCGGACCAGCAGATCGCTGCTGCCCTGCCCGTCTGCCCCAGGTCAGGTCGCACACAGGACACCTGGGCAGGCCGGCGGATTGCTGCTGCCCCTCCCGGCTGCCCTGGGTTGGGCCACACACAGGATGCCCGCTGCCCCAGGTTGCAAATAGCAGGCCCGGATGGCGGCGGGGCAGGCGGGATGGTGCTGTCCCACCCTGCCTGCAGTATGCTAATTAGCCACCATCTTTGTTGGTAGTTAATTTGCATATCACGCTGATTAGCCGATGGGAGGCGTAGCGAAGGTATGGTCAATTACCATGTTTGTCTATTATTAGATAGGAGAGTTCAGTGATAAAAATCCTCAATCTTAAACATGGTACATACAGTTAGTTTAAAATCTGTTTCTCACAAATATAATATCTGGGCCTGTTCATTTATATAGTTTGTATTATTTACTATTTACATTGTGTCTGTTTATATTGTTTACTGTTTCTCCCCATTTACATTCTCTTGTTGCTTTGTCTCTTTCTTATTTAATTGTTGTATGTTTGTGTTTTAATTCTGTTTAGACCATTTATATTTTCATAATTTTTTGTATAAATATTATAAGGTCTATGCTGGTATCAATTTTCTCCATGAAATATTTGTTTTCTTTATTGGTAACTTCAGGATATACTGGCTCTTTTACATACATTACTTATAATGAAGCTGAGGAAATAAAGGTCTGGTAACTTCCATAAAGTCACAGAGCAAGTGGCAGAGCCAGGGTCTGAGCAATTGTAGTCAAACCCTTACCTAAATCAATGTTGTTTGTCCTGTAATTCTATACAATAAAAGCCTAATATGCTAAGTGTCCGGTCATCCAGTCGTCCAGTTGGTATGCTAAGGCTGCTTAATTGCTTGCTATGACGTGCACTGACCACCAGGGGGCAGACAGTCAACCGGTCGACCTGTCGCTATGACATGCACTGACCACCAAATGGCAGACAGTTGACCGGTTGACCAGTTGCTATGATGTGCACTGACCACCAGGGGGCAGGCGCTCCAACTGGCAGGTTGGCTTGCTGCTGGGGTTCAGCCAATCGGGACTGAGCGAGATGGGCCAGACACGCCCTGGAGCCTTCCTGCTGTCCCTCCCCGGCCCTGATAGTGCACTGGTGTGGGTCCCTCAGCCTGGCCTCACCCTGTCACAATCCAGGACCCCTCAGGGGTTGTCAGAGAGCCGGTTTTAGCCCAATCCCGCAGGCCAGACCAAGGGGACCCACTGTTGCACAAATTCGTGCACTGGGCCTCTAGTATGTGATATAAATCTACAACCTAGCAAACTGGTGAACTGCCTTTCAAAATGGCCACTTGGACACATTTTATTTGTCAGTCTAAGCTAATGATACATTTATGACTGATTACTATCAAACAAATAGTATAGTATTAGATATTGGATAAACTGTAGTCAGCAAAACTGGTTGAAATTTTTTAGTCCAATTGAAAGTTAGCGTATATCACATCTTGGTGCAGGAGTTGTCAGGAAATAGAGATTGCATTGTCTTATTTAAAGAACAGAGAAATACATGGGAACAATAGATCCCTGGACTTCATCTTAAAAATACGAATTTCTAACTCATGAGCCAGTGTGCAAGATGTGCCTTTCTAAGTATTAAAAAACAAATATTGAGAAAATGTATGTAAATTGGACTTTGTTTAAACATGTGTGATGAATGTTTGAAATATATCTCAGAAACCATTATAGGCATTATTATCTTTAATTTATAGCATACAAATTGAGTTCAGTGAATTACACGGCTAGTAGGTGATAGGTCCAGGATTTAATCCCTATACTGTTTAGCCAAGGCACTTATATTTTCTAATCACAATCTAATCTTTTAGACTTGACAATTGCAACATTAGATAATGATATATATTTTTAAAAAGATCCTGGAAAGCTCTGGGGTTATTAAAAAATTCAATTTTTACCAACAATGGTATCTGAATAAATGAGTTTTGTCATTTCTTTTTTATTTGATTTGGAATAGAATTTTATTTAGTCATTGGATACATTTTTTCCATAACATAATGTTTTGATATTTAAATACATTTTTAAAATTGTTTTTCCATAGGGATGTGAATAAAGTGCAAGCCTTCGGATCAATCTCATTAGATCAAAAACATGCCAAAGCAAATAGCTTTTTAAGATACACTAAAACCATTTATGATGTGATACGCCACTTGAGTGGAGTAATGCCTGATGGGATTAATCCTAGTCAGTCTTTACCTGTGGATTACATTGAAAGGCTCATTCAGCTTCATTTGCAACATTCTTTGGTTCTTGACTTTCTCAGGTAAGAGCAGGGATGTGCTAATTTAAAAATGTAAGTATGCCCTGACATGTTTTTCTCAGTGGTTAGAGCATCGGTCCTCCTAAGGAAAGGTTGTGGGTTTGATTCTTGAGGTTTGACCCGAGGCGTGGTTGGCTCTAGTGCTGGAGGCAGCTGATTGCTGTGTCTGTCTCACATAGATGTTTCTCTCTCTCTCTTTCTCTCTCTCTCTTTCCCTTCCTCCCACCCTCCCTCCCTCTCTCTTCCTCCCTTCATCACTTCCTTCCTCTCTCCCTCCCTCTCCTTTTCTTCCCCTCCCTTCCACTCTCTCTAAAAATCAAATGGAAAAAAATATCCTCAGGTGAAGATTCAAACAAACAAAAAATATAATTATGGCTTGGATAGATAGATAAGTAAGTAGATGGGCAGGTAGATAGCTAGATAGATTTTGATATTATTTGTGTTTTTAGAAAATATTGGCTAAGTTTCCACAATATACAGAACCTTGTAATATATACCTTGGAAAAATGATAGCAAATAAGCATTTCATGACTTACTGAATTTATAATCTAATGCAATAATTTTCAAACTTTAGGATGCATCCAAATCATTGGGATGGCATAGTAAACATGTTGCTGGCCCTTACCAACAGAGTTATAATGCTAATTTGCATTTATAGCAAGATTCAAGTGATACTGGTACTTGTTTCCATGACCTCATTTTGAGAATCCTCATTTAAGTCAACTATAAAAGCCATTGAACAAAAAACAGGTGTAACCAATAATTATTCTTCAGATTACTGTTAATATAATCTCAAGTTATGGGCACTGTGAATTTTTAGTCTGCATAGTTAAAATCTTTTAATATTAAGTTAATGGACAGGTGAAATTTTCCATAAATTATTAATAGAAAACATAGGAAAAATATTTGTCATCATAATGTGTATGTTTCTCTGCAAAGATTAAATGGCAAGTGGCAAAGAAATAGAAAAATCAGTGCTCATTAAAACTATAAGGGGAGTGTTTGTGAATATCTAGCACTTCTTTTGCCTACATTTGCAGTATCAATGTTCACGGGGACTCCCCACATTCATGGGTAGTGTTATTACTCCCTCTTCCATGTTCCTATATCACTAAAATAATATTTTTACTTGCAATTATTTATGCATTGGGGTTAATGTATTTTAAGACATATTACTATGTTCTTATATTTGGCATATTTGTGTATGGAATCTACCCCATAGTTGGCCAGAGATATTTATTTACCTTAGCAGGAATGGGGATGTAGATAAGAAGAGGACAATTATAGCAGGAATGGAAATGAAAGATTTGGTGTTCAATTTTTTAAATTTCTAGATCAGACTTTTTCAGTTCCTAGCAATATTATGGTCTTAATTAGAAATGTTACTGAACAAAATAATTTTTCTTTCTTAGATTCTCACTATCATGGTAATAGCCAAAACTAGCTTGAGTTTCTTGTCACTTGCAAGAGATCTAGAAGTTACGTAAGTCATTGAAGGTGACTGAGGGAAGACCTGGGCAGCCTGTTATAGGAGATGCTGGGTTGGCAAATAAAGAGGCAGAAGGATGGCTGGCTCTGAAGCCACAATATGAACGATATATGTATGATGACAGGGGAGTGGCTAAGTCAGTTAGGAGGGACCTCTTGGTCCTTGAAGGAGTTAAGAGGGGAGATACAGGATCCCCAACTCAGGCCTCAGCAGCAGATACCCACATGGCAACTGGGCTTCACGTAGAGAGGGGACATTGCCAAAGAGACTGAGCATCCAGAAAAGTAGTCAGAGACGTTTATGTACAGATACAAGAAAAGAGTCTATCTATTCCATGTAAGCCCAAATCCATGATCCATGTCCTGAGACGCCTTCTAGAATTTGGAGGTTACTCCTTTATAAAATAATATAAAATACAAAAATTAGATACATGGCTTTAGAAGCGACTCATGAAAGTGAGGAAACCTGAAGTTAAAGCTTTGTTCACTTGGCAATAAATCTACCTCCTCCCAGATGCTATCCTGCAGTGGGTAGTGGAGGTTGGAAATTTTCATTATTTATCCCAAAGAACAGAATTATCATTAAGAGACTGTTCAGGTGAGAAGAGACTAAGGTATGTGAAGATTCAAGTCTGCATTTTCTATTCCTCTATACCCAATCTGGGTGGGATAATGAGAAATATTCTATCATTTAAGGAAAATAGCACACCACTGACTCATTCATGATTCTGTATACCCCACTAGTTTGTGAGTGTGTGAGTATATGAGGGCAGGAGCCACATCTCATCTGGCATCTCTTACCACCCACGGTCATTGATAGCCCTGAATGGGTCCAATGGTCTTTCAATATTTATTAACATTTTCTTTCACAGAGCTTTGCTTTTTGAGCTACTGTACTAAAAGGAATAAAACTTTGAAATTGAGTCTCAGACAGTCTAATAAGAAAGACAAAAAAATTGTGAAATATAAAACTAAGGGGTAAAGGAAAAAAAAGTAAAGCATTTGCATTCCAGGAGGGACTATATAACCAATGAGAATCAAGTTGGAGAAAATTAGGGTGGGTACTATGAATGTTATACAATGAACTTTATTTATAATACTAAACTATGATCTCTTAAAAATGACTTTAATTATGAAGACATTTATCCCATCGTACCTATATTACTTTTCTAGGGCTACCATAACAAAATACCTCAGACTGGCTGGTCTAAACAATGCAGATTTATTTTTTTCACAGTTGGAGGCTGGAAATACAAGATCAAGGTGCAGGTAGATTGGTTTCTTTTGAGGCCTCTCTGCTTGGCTTGCAGATGGCCACCTTCACTCTTGTCCTCACATAGCCTTTCCTCTGTGTGTGCATACACTTGGTGTCTCTCTGTGTATTCAAATTTCATCTTATAAGCACTAGTCAGATTGGATTAGGGACCACACTAACGGCCTCATTTTATCTTAATCACCACCTGAAAGGCCTTAACTCTGAATAGTCATATTCTGAAGTACTGAGGGTTGTTTCAACATAGGACTTTTTAGGGAGACAGTGTCAATCATATGTGTTGTATTATGAAAATATGAACTTGCTGTTATATTTTCCAATAAATTTTTATTGCTAAATGCGAAATAATATGCAAGATGTTTCTTGTCGTTTGTGCCTGTTATGGACTGGATTTTGTTTTCCCAAAGATCGAATGTTGAAGTCCTAACCTTTGGTGTGACTCCATTTGGAAATAGGACCTTTAGGGATGTAATTACGTTAATGGTGTCATAAAGGTTGATTGCTGAGCCGATAAGACTGGTACATTTATAAAAAGAGGAAGAGGCACCAGAGATCTCTCTTCCCCTCTTTCTTTTTGTGGGAGCACAGAGAAAAGGTTATGTAAGGACACAGCAGAAAGTGGCTATCTGCAAACCTAGAGGAAAGGTTTCACCAGAAACCAAATTTTGTTCTTGGACGTTTTGGCTCCAGAACTGTGAGCAAATAAATTTCTCTTGTTTAACCTACTATGGCAGCCTGAGCAGATTAATATTATCTAATATTAATTATCTAAAATCCCTTAAAATCCCCTTATATAATATCATTTGTTTATAACCAACAATAATTTTTATGATGTGGTTAATTTTCATTGAAAAAAACCCTTTTTGATTTATAATTCCATAATATAGGGTGTCCCAAAATTCACGCAAGAAGTAATTTTGATAGAAAATGCAGGTTTATAATTAAAAATTGTAAATTTTTTATTGATTCATAAAGTATACAGTATAGGGTTATGTATGGAATAGCACATCGGGTAAATGGCCTCCACGGCTTTGCTGGCACATATGCAAAGCCATGGTCTTGATTGTGCCTGCTCCTGGGCCATAATTGGTACTTGGTAATGCTTATCAAATTGAAGGGATTGAAATCAAAGGGAAACAGATATTAGAATCTAATTCAATAAACCAAGTAAAATTAGGCTTTTATTTATTTTTGTTGTTGTTGTTAATGCTCACGCAAAATTCAAATCTTGCGTGAATTTTGGGACACCCTATATAAGACTAAAACAGAAACAGAATATAAACACTGTATACCCTAGGTTAAAAATATAAAGTAAGAGCTCTAGCTGGTTTGGTTCAGTGGATAGAGCATTGGCCTATGGACTGAAGGGTCTCAGGTTCAATTCCAATCAAGGGCACATGCCTGTGTTGTAGGCTTGATCCCCATTAGGAGGCGTGCAGGAGGCAGCTGATCAATGATTCTCTCTCATCATTGATGTTTCTATGTCTCTTTCTCCCTCTCCCTTCCTCTCTGAAATCAATAAAAATCCTATATAATAAAGAGCTAATATGCTAATTAGACTGAACAGCTGAACGACCTTCCGAACATCCTTCTGAATGTAGCCAGGGCTGCGAGTGCCAAGACCCTTGCACGAATTTCGTGCATCAGGCCTCTAGTATATTAATAAAAAAGAAAATATAAAGTAGGATATTACATAATATAAAGCTACTATAACCCATTTCTTTTAGGTTTTCTTTAAATTTATTGGAGTGACATTGTTCAAGATGATCATATAGGTTTCAGGTGTGGGTTTCTGTGTTACAAGATATGTATATTGCACCATATGTTCACTACCCAAAGTCAAATCTTTTCCTGTGACCATATATTAAGACCTCATTCTCCCCTAACCCCCTTCCCTTGGACAACCACCACACTACTGTTTGTGATCACGCATTTCAGTTTTATGTCTCATGTATGAGTGAAATCATATGGTTCTTAGCTTTTTCTGACTGACTTATTTCACTTAGCATAATGTTCTCAACGTCCATCCATGTTGTTGCAAATGGTGCTATTTCATCCTTTCTATGGCTGAGTAGTATTCCATTGTGTATATGTACCACATCTCCTTTAACCCAGTCCTCTATCATAGGACACTTTGGTTGTTTCCTTGTCTCGGCCACCCTGAATAATGGTGCAATGAACACAGGGGTGCATATATCTTTGTGAATACATGATTTCGAGTTTTTTGTGTATATACCCAGGA